GCAGAAGGTGACTCCTCTCTTTGCTCAGAGCAGTTGGGGAGGGGGAAGGACCTGACCAGGCACCGGAGCTGAGGAGTCCTTGGAGGGATCACTGGAATTGGGGCTGACTTCTTAGAGGCATCTTTGAGCTGAGGTACCAACCCTCCACCCCCAGCAGCGCAGGACCAGACTTAGGGAGGGAGAGCAAGGCTGTGGACCGGACTAGCAGGCGTGTCCCTGAGGTCCCTGGTATGAGGCCGAATTTTCTCCTTCAGGAACTGGGGGATCCATGGAAAGATTTGAGGAGAAGCAGGCACAGGACGCTTCCCGGGATGACACAGGGGTACCGACCACTCAGCTCCGATGATGAGGGACAGCAGGGCTCCGGGAGGACCCAAGCGGCAGGGGCAGCCTGGGGCTTCTTGGAGGAGGGGAGGGAGTGTGGCTCTGGGACCCAGGGGTGAGAGAATCATCGAAGGGGAGGGGGTGTGGTCCGGAGGGAAGTGGCCTGAACGGACGCGAGAGCTGCGAGGGCGCGCCGGAGCGGGAGGCGGGCATCAGCCGGACTTGTGGGCTGGCCGCCCTGGCGGGGCCACCTGGCCTCGGTTTCCCCACGCAGCGGGGCGGAGCGAGAACCGCGCGGGTCTGGAAGCCGCCCTGCAGGGGGCGCCCGCGGGCGGCGCGGCCGGAGCTGGAGACCCAGCGGCCGCCGAGACGGCGGGAGCCGGCGCGCTAGCAGCAGGTCAGTGGGGTCCCGCGTCCGGGGTCCCCAGGGTCCCGGGCGGGCGGCCGGGCAGCGTGGGGCCGTCGGAGGCTGCTGGACTGGGGGGCGGGAGGCGCGGGTCCCCTCCTCAGGTGCCCCGCCGCTCCGTCTCTTCCCGCCGACCTGAGAGCGAGTTCGTGGGCCGGGGTCCGAGCCCTGCCCGCGGCGGCGGCGGGAACAGCGGGTGCAGGGGCGGCTCGAGTGCGGCTGTCGCCCTAAGCCCGGTCGGGGGACGGTGCGCAGACCCTCTGGGCCACCCTGAAATGGACCGGAAGGTGCGCAGGGTAAGCGGGGAGGGGAAGGGGCGAGAGAGCGCGGCCCCAGCGGCAGGGGCGGGAACCTCGCCGGTGCGTTCTGGGCCACGGGCCGCCCGGGTACTCTATGAGCCCTCGGGGCGCGCCCTGGCCTGGCTGGGCTCGAGGCAGAGGCCGGCCTGAGCAGGCGGGCCGGACCCCGCAGACGAGAACTTCCACAGGTGGAGCTGCCGAACGTCCAGGTGTTCCCGGGAAGCTGGGTGAGCAGACGGCGTCCGAGCGCCTGGGGCGCAGCGAGAAAGGGGGAGTCGAACGCCGGCCGAGCGCGGGCGCGTCCAGTGGGCATTGGTGGCGGGAACCGGACTTAGGGGTCCCAGGAGAGGCCGGGGTTGGGGGCGCGCCTCGGACTGTCCTGGCCGTCCGCCGGGCTGCCCTGAGCCGACGTAGGAATTGCGGGAATGGTGGCGGCCCCCGAGGGACTTGGCGCGGGATGCCCAGGGGATCAAGGAGGGGCCGGGGCCAGCGGAGCAGAGATGTCTGCGTTGCGGGCGCGGCCACCGCGCTTTAGACTTCAATTTCCCCGACTGTACAATGGGAGGAAGGCGGAGGCCGAGGGCTCCGCAGGGGAGAAAAGAGAAGAGAGAAGTCCCCACCCCCTTTTCTCTGGACTGGAGCTGACCCCTGGGGGAGGACTAGGGCGGCCCCTTGTGCCGGTTCTCCCTCCCCATCTCAGGCGGCACCTAGGCCCGCTTCCACCCACAGGCCTGTGCTCCTTTCCCACCTGGAGCTCAGGCTGCCCTCTCCTTGGCCTCTGCTATCCAGCTTCCATCGACTCCCAGCCTCTGCACCCTCAGAAGACAATCCATGTCACCTCTATGCCGCTAGGGCTGCCCCTGCGTGTCCTGGTCCTGGGGCCCATGATGGAGAGTTCTTGGGAGCACAGTGGGCTAGGGAGGCTGTGTGGCATCAGGGGCTGCCTCCTTAGTCCTGCGGGGTCTGGTCCTAGATGCCTTGGATGGGCTGGAAAGGCTCTGCCCTATGGGCCAGGCCCCCTCCCAGGTTCTGGTCCATGGCGGGAGCTCCTCGCTGAGGCTTGTCCACACCTCCTTGCTCTACTCTTGCCCTTTAGGGTTTCCCTGGCTCTCCCAGGTCCTGGTGTCTCTTGGGCCACTGCCCCTCCCTCCCTATCCCCTCATTGCAGACCAGATTCTGGGCTAAGCTGGCTTCTCTGTTCATCGCCTCAGGGAGGCTGAGGGCAGCCCAGACATGGCTGGCAGGAGACAGGCTTTGGGCCAGGTGGGTTTTGGTGGACGTGTGTGTTGCCTTCCTCACACTGGCCTGGGAAGTGCAGGTCTCTGACCACACACTGGTCCTGCCCCCAGGAATCCACAGCCTAAGAGGGCAATGGCTGGCTTCAGAGGCAACCCAACGGCCCAGAGACTTCCATGCCCAAACCTGGGTTCTAGTCTTGATTCACTTGCTGAGCAGCCCTGGGCCAGTCATTGCCCCAGCAAACCTGCCTTCTCATCTGTAAAATAAGCCTGATGGTGCAAGCAATGCTTAACGAGGGTTGCGGTGGAGAGTAAATGAGAGACAGGCATTGGTTGTGGGGGACAGATTGGGATCTGTGCTTGAGCTTGGGAACCTGGGGGGGAGGCTCTTAGCCTTATGGGGTTGGGGGGGACACCACAAGAGATCGCTGTTGGCCGAGGGACATGTGGACTGGAGTTGGATTGGGAGCAAGCACCTGGCATCACACCCTGCAAAATGTAGGGCCTCTAGGTCTGCTGTGTAGGACCACAGCGCCTGGTGGCCCTCAGCAGTGACCTGAAATCCCTCAGCAACTCCTGCTCCCGTTTAACCTGCCTGACTCCTGAGCCACCTGACTCTGAGTGAGCTGGAACTGCCACCCCAAGTGTCTTGTGGGGGTCAGTCCTGTCTGCTGAAAGATGTGTACACATGAGAGCCAAGGTGAGCACAGCCTGAGGGAAGGCAAGGGCTTGAAGGATGGGCTGAGAAGTTGTTTTGGTGTGTGTGTCAGGGGACCCTGAGGAGATCACTGGTGTCAGGTGCTAAGTTGACAAAAGGATGAGCTCCGGCCCCTAGGGAAGGATCTGGGCCTGGGAAATGTTGGCGGCCACAGAAGGGAGGGTTTGCCCCATGGTCTGGAGGCTGAAGGGAGCAGTGGGAGTGCGGTGCTAAGGGTGGGCCCCTGGAAGTCTGTGCTGGGCCCAGATGGGGGAAGGGAAGTGAGGAATGGCAGGAGTTCAGAGCTGGGATGCAGGGAGCCCTCGCAAGAGACTGCTCACCTCCCGGACAGGGCTGGGAGCTCTGAGTGGTGGGAAGGAGCAGTTTAGTGGCAGAGGTCCCCCAGCCCTTGCCCACAGAATCATGCAAGGGGCCCCTACAGTGTGGAAGCCATGGGATCCTGACTCCTGATGGGGACTGGAGAAGCTCAGCTGCCCTCACTCTAGCTGGGGGAGCAGGATGGTGGATGGGGGAGATGGGGGAGGGAAGGCAGGAGGCTTCAGCTTTCCAGGACCCCCGCAGGCCTTCTCTGGCATGCTTCTGGGCCTTGCACAGACTGTTGCCTTTGCCTGGAATCTCCTTTCCTCTCTTCCCTGACCCTTCAAATCCAGCATGAATACCCCCTCCCCTGAGAGCCCTTCCAGACTCCTCTGGCCCACAACCCCTTCCATAGGACAAGCTTGTTTCAGAAGTTGCTGGGCAGGGTCTTTCTGCAGTTCCCACCTCTGCTGCTGCTCGCGTCAGCCCAGCTGTCACCTGGAAGAAAGGCTGCCTTGGTGCGCCATGGAGAGGCAGTCAGTGCCACTCTGGTGCCTCCCTGCTGTCAGGGTAATGGTTTCTGCCCAGAGGCCCCCAGGGCTGGTATGTGTCTGCCCATCTGTCACAGAGCATTCACCTCTGGCCCCTCAGTGGCCTCTGCAAACCGTAAGCCAGGTACCAGAGGCCACTGAGTGACCAGGGAGCAGTGGCAGGGCCGTGCTGGAGTTGGTCTGGCTGACCCTCTTGCTCTCTCCTTTCAGCCTCCAGGGCTGCATCATCACATCTTCATCCCAGGGACCCCAGAAGTGGGTCTGCCTTCCTCCCATCCTCAGCATACCCACCCTCTGGGAGCTCCTGAGGCTGTGCACCTGGCACTGCCCCTTCAGCAGGCCAGCCTTCTGTCAGGGTCCCACCCCAGGCCCACTAGGGTCTATGTTCTCAGGGCCATTTAGAAGCCCCCCCCCCCATCTTGACCTCTTCAGGCATGGTAGTGCCTGTCGTCATGCCAGTAGAAGATTCACTTGAGAGGTGTGGCTGCTGAGCCATGTGGGTGAGGAGGTTGTCTCACTGTGGCCTGCTGTACCAGAGGGGAAGCCTCTTGCTCAGGGTCTCAGGGAGTGTGGGATGGAGCAGGAGTGGGACCCCATCTGGGTTCCTTGCAACACAGGGTGGGCACGTAGCACTTTGTGTGTGGAGTGGCCCCTTGGAGGGGGGAGTCAGGTGAGGCAGCCCATGGGGGTGAGTGGCCACGTCAGGCTGGGAAGAGGCAGGGCCTGTGGCCTCTCTGGCATCTGGCCTGGACACGAGGGTGTGGAAGGGGGATTCTGGGCCCCCAGCAGGGAGAAAGGCCCTGCGGCTCCAGGCGTTGCTGATGTGGAAGCTGCTCTGGGGGCTGGGCTCAGTGCAGGGAGTAGGCTCTCAGCCCCAGTCCTGCCCACATCCTGCCCCCAGGCTCTGAAAGCAGCAGCTGCACACCCCAGGGGCCGTGGGGGAAGGGACACCACTGGTGCCTGCCAGGGTACCTGGGGCCCAGCCCTCACAAGGTTCCTGAAGTTGGAGCTGCTAGCAACCCTGCAGGGAGGGAGAGAGGGAGGGAAGATGTGCCATGATACAGAGGATGCTCACCTCCAGGCAACACTGGAGATGGCCCTGCTCTCATTGATGGGTTCGGAGAGGGGCCTGGCCGGTCCCAGGGGCCTGGGGTTTGGGAGTCTTGTGCCCAGGCCTGGGCCACTCTAAAGGCCACTGGAGAGCTTGTGGTTGGGGCAGAGCTGAGCTGCCTGTCCAGCTAGTTCTCCTTTGCTTGTTGACCTCTCCACTCTCCCACTGAGTTCCCTTCCCACTGAGGTGGTGCTGCTCAGTCTACCTTCCATTTCTTTCAACTACCTGCTCTGAGCTTTGGGTGAGAATTCCACAGTGCGGTCTTCAGATCCCCAACTGTCTCCTCAAACTGTATGCACATGACAACACATCAATTGTGTTCTCCTCAATCCTTCTGTTTTTCATTTCCAGGATTTTTATATTATTTCTCGTTCATATTTGCCTGTTCTTGTTTTGGTTCTGCCAATAATTCTCATTCTTGTTTATGGATACTACTCCTTTATCTCTTTGAAGATCCTAAATGTCTTTGAAAATTATTAGATTACTATATTATCTTCATCTCTGGAATGAATTAATCTCTATATTGAGGTCTTGGAAGTGGGGAGTGACCTGCACACCTGGGTAGTAGCCAGCTCTCAGGACAGTCTCCTGGGACAACTCTGCCTTAAGGCCCCCCACTGTGGGCTCAGGGCCTGTTGGGGTCAGGCTCAGCAGCAGGTGGCACAAAGCTCCCTGTGCTGTAGCAGCTGGGATGCTGCCTGGCACAGAGTAGGTACTTGGAAACATCTGCTGTGAGAAAGTAGTGGAGGATTCTCAGGCTGGGATTCTGGAACCCAGGAACAGGCCCAGTGTGGCTGCAACAGGCACAAGGCGCTAGGCTGGCCTTGGTACATTGCCCTTAGCTGCACTCAGGAGCAGGTGTGCAGGGTCCTGCCTGGAAGTTGGCGGGCACTTCTATCCACCGGGCTCTGGGGGGTACAGCCACCATGTGGGCATGTGTACAGAAAGCCTTGCTAGTCTGATGTACAAGGAGCCAGGAAATGTGCGGGTTTGATTAAATGGAGTTTTAATTAAATTGGCCAGACTGGTGAGGGTAAGGAGAAAGGCGGGAAGCAGCAGCAGTTTTGAGTCTAACTGCTGGGGAATCCTGTGGGTTTGTCCTTTTGAGGCTTATCATGCACCTTCCCCAGCATGTAACTCTGATCTGTATGGGATGGCTTCTGCCCTCTGCCCTGTCCCCAATAAGGGACAATCACAAGGAAATATTACATTATTAATATTTCATTTCCCCTCTTGGCTAGCAACAGATGACTCAAGGATTAATTAGAGCCAACAGAGAGGAACAGGAAATTGCCAGATCCTGGCCCCGCCCCCAGCCCCCTCCTCCTGGGCCTCCAACCTTCCTGTCACTCTTGCTCTAGGAGGCCTCTGAAGGGAGGAAAGCAGAGAGGGGCCAGGAGGCCCTAGGAAATCTTGCTGCTGCTGTTTTTCATGGGCATTCCCCCAGCTCTGTTCCACCCTTTTATGCTCATGGTAAAGCTGGGAGGGCATTAGCCTCTTTGAGCCTTAGCTTCCTCATCTGTAGAGTGAAGTTCATGGGGCCAGCCAGTGAGAACACAGATGACCCACAGACCTCTGCACCCTCATTTCCTGAGCTCCCAAGCAGGCCGTGGAAACTATTGTAGAGGGTCTGGAGTGGAGTCCAGGCAGGTGGGCCCTGGGAGAGCACAGGGCTTGGTGGCTCAGTGGTGGCTGGAGCCTTGTTTTCCCCAGCTGACTGTGTACGTTGATTCCCAGTTCCTGTCAGTGACTCATTAGTACCTTAAAACAGGCCATCATGGGAGCATTTTACTACAAAACTCTGGCAAAGGCCCCAAGTTAGGGCACCCCCAACCCTGGGCTGATTTGCGGTCTGACAGCTGGGAAGCTTCAACCTCCTCCCAGCTACCTCCGTGCCCTGCTCACCCCGCGGTGCCCTGGGCTCCACTGATGTGCTCTGCTTGGGGCTGGGAGATTCTAGTCTGGCAGATAACCAGGTTGCCTGTGTGGCCAGGCAAGCTTCAACCCGGGATGTGCTGGTAGCTGCTGGAGGGCCTGCAGGAAAGCTGTAGAAGGCTGATGGGGAGCCCAGTGTGCAGGGAGGCAGCCTTCCAGACCCAGCTGGCAGGGGTGTGTCTGGCTCCTTGCAGGGCTGACCTGGGCTGGAGGGTCTGTTGTATCCAGTGAGACTGGGAAGGTACCCAAGGCTTGCCAGACAGTAGGAAGGTGCCTTCAGCTTAGTCAGGAAGGGTGCTGGTACCAGGTGCTGTGAGGCCTGAGAGCCCACAGTACAGAAGGTGATGGGGAAGCCCCAAGGATTTAGGGGTCCCGAGTCTGCCAGGAGAACCTCACCAAACAGAGGGCTTGGGTTAGGGTCCCCAAACACCCTTCTATGCTGGGCATACCAGCCCACATGGAGTCAGCCCAACATCCAGGGCAGATGCTAATGATGTGACCCCATCAGTAGGGCTCCAGGCAGTGGGGCCAGACAGCCCACGTTCAGCTCCACAAAAACGTGGTACTTATCTGGGTCAGGTGGATCACTGGTGGCCCCACCTTATCTGACCCTGGGAAGCACCCTCTGAATCTGGATGATGGCCTAGGGCCAGGTCAGGTTTCTAGCCTGGGCTGGTTGGACTGGGAGAGGCTGTGTCTCTGTCAATGCAGATTCCCCAGGAGAGGCTGAGGCCAGGGTAAGAAGGATGGCAGGGGGTTGTCCGGAGGCCAGGAAGGTGGATGGGTGGCTCACTGGTGGTAGGAGGCAGGGTCCCTGGGGCTTGCTGGGCCTGACTGGACAGTGGCCCGCTGCTGGTGGTGCTGAACCTGGGAGGCCCCCAGATGGGAGGCAGCTCTGGGGCTGTCACTTCACTCCTGCAGAACAAGGACGAGACACTGGACACATAGCCTCTGCAGTCAGGGTGCCCCTGGTGAATGCTACTCTGGGCTGCAGGCCGGGAACACCAAGGGACACTGTGTGGCCAGAGTTGGCACCAGGAGACTTGGTCTGCCCTACCTCCGCCAGTGACATGCTTTGTAAGTAGCTGGCTGGCAAATGCCCTGTGCACAGCAGGGGCTCGGTGGGACTTGTCCATGGCCCCTTGGAGGCAGGCTCCTGCCAGGCCTGGGAGAAGACGTGGGCTGCAGGAACCCCTTGGGTTCTCAGGAGCTCGGCCTCCTCTTCTCTTTCCGGCTTCCTGGGGCTGGGCACTCCCCTCCAAGCCTCCCAGTGGGCATGGGGGACGCCTCTCTGTTGTACCTCTCCGTGCCCACCCAGCTCCTGCCACCTGAGGTAGATCGGAGTTAGAAGGAAACTTGGGGTCATTTATTGCAGCTCTAAATCACCTCCTGGACAGGGTGGGGGGAGCCTGGCCCTTGGAATACAGGCAGGGACAATAAGCAAACTTCTCCCAAGGTTGCCAGTCCTCTTGATCCCTCGTATCCTGGAAGAGAGAGGGGGGATGCAACCCCGAGCCCACACGTGGGCCTGAAAGGCAGCTTCAGGCTTTTTGTTCCCAGGCAGGCGGCAGCCACTATCCATGTGCACCTGGACCATGAAAGCCCAGGACTGCAGGAGGGGGTGGATTTGGCATGAAGGACACTGCTGGGCAGCACACGTGAGTGTGACAAGGGGGAGGTAGAGGTGATGGGGAGAGGCCCCTGGACTGGCAGGGGCGATAGAGACTGTTTCACAAGCTCAAGGGGGATCCCTGGGGGTTTGCTTCTACTGGGTGTCACTAATTCTTTACATTTCTATGACATTTTGACTGGGGGAGCCCTTTCAAATGTGTTCACTCCCTTCTCATAGAATCATGGGTGAGAGCTGAAATGGCCCCCAGAGGCTACTGGGGTCCAACCTCCCCACTGTATCAGTGGGGAAACTGAGGCCCAGAAAGGAAGAACATTGTTGCCCGCAGTCCCCAGGCAAGCCTGGCTGAGCGCACCAGCCAGGCTGGGGAGCAGGTGTGGGAGGAGGGAGTGAGGGGGGAGGCGAGGCGGCCGCCCCTCCCAGATGTGCAGTCAGCTGGCGGGGGCTGCTGAGGGGCGGGCTCCCTTTGTGCCTGCTCCAACACTCTGTGCAGCACCACCAGTGAGGGCAAGAGGGCTTACCTGCCAGCAGTGGGAGACAGGACCAGAGGGCCACCAGATCCTCCCACATCAGAGCTCTGGGGTCTCTGGGCCTGTTCCTTATGCAGGCAGCATAGGTAGGTGCTGGTAGTCCCCGGGGAGCGCTCTCAGGGGGATGGAGCAGACTGAAGCTGGCTGAGAGAGAAGGTGGGTGGCCCTGGGAGATCCAGGGGTTAAGGAGGCCTTTCCAGGAGGGAGGGTCATGGGGTAGTGGTGAGCTCAGGGATCCAGGAAACTGGCAGAGCTGCCCAGAAGGCTTGAGAAGCTAAGCCTGGGGGCCAACACAAGTGACTCAACTCTGAAAGTTCTCGGCTCCTCTGGAAGAAAAACAGACTGGGGTTGATCCCTGGCCCTCTGTTTCAGGTGGGAGAGGCAGGGCACGGTAGGTCGTCCTCAGGCTGATGCCTGGCCTGTGGGGAGGGCGTTGGGGAACCGGGGCTGAGGGCTGCCCCTGGGAATCTTCAGCTGTGCCCCTGCCAGTGGTCCACCTCCTCACGTGGCTTCTCCCTTGGCAGGTACCACAGGAACTCTGAAGCTAAGCTGAGCCAAGATGCCGCCAGAGCCCCTGGAGAGGGCCTGGTTTCTGAAGACTCGGAGTTGGCTGTGAAAAGCCCTTGGGGGGCCCCCCCAACGGCAGGGACGCTCCTGGCTCCTGTGAAGGGGCTCAGGGCCTGGGCAGGCCAGCTGTGCTGCAGCTATGGACCGTGAGCTGGCCTGGCCTGCGTCCTTGCTGACCCTGCCCATCTGCAGCTGTGCCCAACATGGGCTCCTCGGTGTACATCATGGTGGAGCTGGCCATTGCCGTGCTGGCCATCCTGGGCAACGTGCTGGTGTGCTGGGCTGTGTGGCTGAACAGCAATCTGCAGAACGTCACCAACTACTTTGTGGTATCCCTGGCGGCAGCCGACATCGCCGTGGGGGTCCTTGCCATCCCTTTTGCCATAACCATCAGCACGGGGTTCTGTGCCGCCTGCCACAGCTGCCTCTTCTTCGCCTGCTTCGTGCTAGTCCTCACGCAGAGTTCCATCTTCAGCCTCCTGGCCATCGCCATTGACCGCTACATCGCCATCCGCATCCCACTCCGGTGAGCCACGTTCTCTTCCCTGGTACACCTCATGCTGGGGGCCACATCTGTGAAAAAGCTCCCTGTGTCAGGGTCTGGTCTGTGCCAGGATCAGAGTGAACCAGGGGTCAGGGTGAACTTGGGGTCAGGATTTGGTCTGGGGTCAGTGTGTTGAGCTGAGGACAGGGCCATGGGGCTCAGTCTGGGGCTGCCCAGGGCTTGGCACATGGCCAGCACTTGTGCCACACCAGCTGATCCCTGTGGGCACAGGGCAGGCTGGTCCTTCCCAGGCTCCCCTGGGCTACATGGGTGAGGCTGCCGTGTTTTGGCTATTGGCAGATGTGTGCAGCCCAGGCCTAGGTGGGTGCATCTGGGGCGTTCTTCACACAGCATGACAGTGGGGCAGGGTGGGCACCACGGGAAACCACAGGACCTGAGAGCTAGAATCCCGCCCACCTACCCGCCTGCCTTCCTCCAGCTCCTCCAGGCTGCCCTGCAGCTTGCACATTAGGAAAATGACCCAGAGAGGGGAAGTGACTTGGTCAAATGCCTTCGTGAGTCACTTGGACCTCTATGCAAATTCTGTGCTGCTCAGTCACCAAGTGTTCATGGGGGACGGACGCTGGTGGATGGGGGTTTTTATGGTGAAACTTTTGTGAAATGACTTCAGCCATGTATTGTGTAAACAAAGACTTTCCCTGAGGCTGAGTTCACTTAAAGACAGCCTCCACCTACCACCACCGACCCGTGGACAGGGCTAGTAAGTGTCCCTCCCCACCTGGGGGCCAGCCTGGGGGCCTTCTGCCCCACCTCCTCGCCCCTCCACCCTGGAGCTGGGTTCCACAGCCTAGATGGCTGCAGGCCCTGAGGGAGGTCTCAGAGGATGGTGTGCCCCCATCCAGTGGCGAATTCTCTGAACCAGAGTAGTCCCACCAGCCCCACGCTGGGCTGAGGGTGCCCCAGCCAGGACAGGGAACAGGCTCAATGAGCAAATGGAAATATAGAGTGTCAAACCCAGGGGCACCCTTAGAGGTCATTTCCTCTCATCTTATGGATGGAAAGATGAGGCTCAGAGAAGGGAGTCAGCCCCCAGGGCTACGCAATGAGTTGGTAGCACAGTCAGGACTGGGCCTGGGAAGAAACATGACTGCCACCCTCGGTGACTTCAGTCTTTGGGAGCTGGTCATAGGGTGGCCCCTGTCTCCCAGAACCTGGGCCACCTGGGCTCTAAGGGAAAAGCAGACACCCTCATCATGCTGCTTAAATGAAGGAAGGAGCCTGGGCCCCGTGTGGCCCTCCCAGAATACTTTGTGTCGGGACAGCCTAGGACCCTTGTCAAAAGAAAAGGGGACTCTGGCTGGTCCTAATAGAGGACCAGCCTAAACAGGCAGAGCCAGAGTCCAGGCTCGACCAGGACACAGAGGCCTTAGGGCTCCCAGGCTGATTGATTGGTGTCCACTTCGGGGCCAGGCCAGTGTGGGCTGGGCCGGGCCGGCCCTGGCAGAATGTTCAGTGGGGAGCAGAGGTGTCGTTCTCAATTTCTTCCCTGATTCAAGGAGCAGTAGATTCGAGGGAGAGATCAGAGCTGCTGGTCTCAATCTAAAGGGCCTTCCTTGGCTTCTTTTTCTTGTCTCTGTTTTTCAAGAGTCAAAAGTCCCATCCTCCCTGATGCAAGAGGATGGGACGCGCTGTGTGACTGTGGAAAGTCAGCTGTCTCTCTCTGGGCCCATTTTTCATCTATAAAAGGGGCCAGGTCTCTATCCCTCTGAGCTCACAAAGGTGTTCTGAGGGCCCAGTGAGTGGACTGGAGTGATGGGTCCCTGAGGAAGGATGGCAGGGTGGGGTGGATGGAGATTCAGGTCTTTCTGAAGCTGCTGGAGGTTCAGAGCTATGGACCTGGCCCCCCCTCCCAACCCCATCTGCCTGCCCAACTCCCACAGTCTTCCAGAGCAGGACCTAGTTCCACCCAGACCTTGGCCATTTGAGCTCCACTTGATAGGGCTTAGAAGGGTCAGCCTGGCTGTCTTGGGTTAGGGAGCCAATGGGATGACGGTGGTGATGATGCTCAACCCTGCTTGGGGCAGAGAGCTCCACGTTTGCCAGAGGATGTTGGCTCAGCGTCTCCTTTGATCTTCTCGGCCGGCATTGTGGCCGGGAGGATGTTATGACCCTCCTGTTACTCGTGGGGAGGCCAGAGCCAGAGACGGAAAAGTGTCTCCGGACGCGGGGACTCCAGGGCCCTTCACCCTGCTCCAGGTCCCCTTGGGTCCCTCCACTTTCCTCTTCCTCAAGGGTACTGGGCTGGCGAGGGCTGGGAGAACGAGGTGTGTAAAGTTGTCCGTGTGGGGCTCCTGAGAGCAAGCTGGGCATGAGTGGGGACTAGATGGAGGCAGATGGTAACCCGGGGCAGCTCTGGGACTGCTGCCTGGCTCAGGGTGCCCATTCCTGCCCCCCTTCCTCTGTCCCCTTCCAGCTGGAATCCAGTCTCTCCTGTGTGCTGTTTCCTGATCCACTCAGTAAGTCCATTTGGCTAACCTGAAGTCCAGCCTCTGACCGATGCTCTGGATGCCTAGCTCCAGGCCTGCACCGTTCACCATTAATTTTTCTTTTTTTTAAAAAAGAATTCAGTTTCAGAAAAATCTTATGTGCTCCTTCCCAAGTGCACAGACCCTACTGGGCTAGGGCAGGGCCTGGACAGAGGCAGGGATGGGAGCTCTCCATGTCCCCAGAGGACAGAATTCCCAGGGTGACAAAGGCTTTCTTTCCCCAGGGGAATTCCACACCCCTTGTCTCCCATCTCTCACTTTAGCCCCTTCTGACTGCTCTCTCCCTTCGGGAACAGGCCTTCGTATGGGGCAGCAGAGTCCTGTGTGGTGAACTGCCCCAGGGAACAAAACCTGAGTACCCTGGCTTCTAAGGGGGCAGGATTGGGAGAGAGGACTCCCTGCAGGAGGTGACGCCATGGGTTGCTGGGGATGCGTTGGAATGGGCATTGGCGTGTGTGGGGAAAGGGGTAACAGAAGGGGGCCAAGCCTGGACAAAGGCCACAGGGAAGGAATAAGCATGTGGGCTCTGGGCCAGGGAGAGGTGACAGAGAGGAGAACAGGCCTACAGGGAGGCTGTGAGGCTGGCTCAGGCCTTCCCATGCTTGGGAGGGAGTTTGGGTTTTAGCTGTAGGTCAGTGGCTCCTTTGGACAACTTAGGAAAGCTCCGCCTTCTGACTGAAGGGCAAATGCACGGGAAGCCCTAACCTGAATTGTGGGGGGTACTATTGGATCATAGGGTAAGCCCCCAATGTAAGTAATGGGGAGCCCCCAGGAAGGGGCAGCCTGTGAGCTGGAGGACATAGGGATGCAGAAACACCTCTAAACGCGGGGGCTGTGGTTCTGGCACTGGCTTCCTATGACACTTCTGGGCTCCCCAGAACAGCAGAGCATGACCCTGGATGGCCTTGGCACCCCCTCCACCAGGCAGGCAGTCTATGTCTGAGGCCCAGGAGGGCAAGATGTGACTGCCTTAGTCACAGACACAGCTCAGGGGATGGGAGATGCTGCTGGGCCAGGCTGTGGCTTGGCCATGGTTCCATCTGGGCCCTAATGTTGATCCAGTCCCCTGGGAGCCTGGGTCCAGGGCTCTAAGCCTAAGAGGCTTTCTTTCGAATAACAAAATTAATCTGTTTGGTATCTTTTTAAAATAAATAATACCTGCATGTATTACAACATCAAAAAAGAACAAAAGCATATATGGTAAAGAATTGTCCCCCTTGCCCCACCTCAGCTCCCTTCCTGGAAGGCGGTGTTGGGAATCCTTCCAGACATCCTTTGCATACAGAGACAAGTGCTATCAATGTGTTTCTGTTTCTGTCCCCAGGACAGGAGGAGCTTTCTTTTCAGAATGCAGTGGCAGACTTCCTCTCCTAGGTTTCCTCATCTAAATGTAGACAAGTGGACAAAACAGGAATTTTCAAACCGTGTCCCCAGAAGCCTTCAGGCTGGGCCCTGGCTTCCCCCCCAGTTCATTCATTCAGTGAATATTATTAAGCCTCCTCTCTTCCTCGGCAGCTCCAATTCTGTGATTGCCTGGGAATGCAGGTGAGAAGGGTTGCTGCTGGAGAACAATTTGAAAATCCCCAAAGCAGGTGGCCTCCAGGATCTTCTACACCATCCCTATTACTGCTTGCTTCTGCTTGACTGCCTCAAATGACAGGAGCTTCACCACTGCCTGAGGCAGTCCATTTCTCCTGTGAATAGCTCATTTACCCTGAGCCACAATCCATCTCCCTATAATTTTCACCCAACAATTCTACAATCTGCCCTCATGGGACAGTGCTCACAAGCCCCAGATTCTTAGTCCCATTTTACAGATAGGGAAACTGAGGCTCAGAGAGGCAGTGACAACATGGCTAAACAAGAATGCACCATCGCTAGAACCCAGAGGGAATATGCTTTTCTTCAGAAAAATATCAACATTAAAATAGCCTCCTGGGACTTCCCTGGTGCCCAGCGGTTAAGACTCCGAGCTCACAATGCAGGGGGCTCAGGTTCGATCCCTGGTCAGGGAACTAGATCCCACATGCCACAACTAAGGGCCCACGTGCCACGATGAAGATGCCACATGCTGCAACTAAGACCCAGTGCAGCCAAACACATAAATAAATATTTAAAAAATTAAAATAACCTCTTATTCAATCAGATCATATAAATTACTATTTGTACAGTACTAAAAACAGTGCCTGGCACAGAGCAAGTGCTATATAAGTAATAAATGGGAAAAAAAAAACCTGTGACCTCACGTTTGAAGCTCCAGAACAGGAAATAGGGCAGTATAGGCTCTCTGTGGCTTGACAGAAATGGGCAAGTCCATGACCCTCTTCCTGCTGCAGGCACCCAAGCCCCCAGTGAATGGGGCTGCAGAGCTCGGGAGAACGGTCCTGCTAGGTTACTGTTTGGGTTCAGAAATGAGGAAGTTACCTTGGCCCGAGTTGCCTCTGGATTCCTGGAATGTCCAGGCAAGTCCATTCCTCTCCTTGGGCCTCAGTTTCTTTACCTATAAAACGAGAGGGTTGGAATAGACTAGAGGTCAGAGGCCACCGTGGGTTTTTTCCCCTTAATTTGAATCAGTTGACAAAATTTAAACCATGGGAGGTTTTACCCAGAAAAATCAGCTCCCAGACCCTCCTGAGATCTGGCAGCACTGGGCAAGTTTAAATGGTGGGGGTGGGGGAGGGGATGGCTGAGTGGTATCAGCTGCCTCCTGCACACAGGGTAAATACCCACCAGCCTGCCTGCCTCACATATTTGTAACCTCTAGGCCCCTGTGTTTGCTACCCCATGGACTAGTTTCTATGGATACTTCCAGCTCCAGAATTAAGCATGTTTTTCCTTGACACCTACTATGTCCTGTCTCAGTGATGGTAATGCAGCGATGGATATAGAGACCCAAGGGGCCCCCAGCCTTGGGAGCCCAGATTGGGTAGGGATTAGTTGAGCTTGGGTAGTAAACTTCTCTGAGATCTATCTAACCTGAACTTAGAAAGGATGGGTAGGGTTTACTAGGTACAGAGGAAGGCAGTCTGTGTTGCCGGAATCAAAACCGTTAAATGCAAAGTCATCCCTCAGAGATAACTGAGGTCACCTTCCTCAGTCAGGGAGATGATTTTTTGATTGCTCTTTCTTTTAATAAAAACGATACCACCCTTTTTTGTTGGCCTGAGGTCAGCTTCTGAGCCAGCAGATCAGGCCACTCCCCGAGTCTGGAACTGAGTCTGGTGCTCTAGAGTACTGAGTGATTTGGGGCAGACTACTTCTCCTCTCTGGACCTTAGAATCTCATGCAACTCTTTCCTCTTGAATGTTAAGGCTTATATAAATGTTAAGACATACTGATCTCATCTCTCTCCAGAGGGCTGTGGGTGAATTTGGAGGGGAGAGGGGGTATCTCATTTGGCCCGGGACCTCCACCCCTCCTTTTCCCACCTGTCCCACCTCTCCTTAGGGGCTTCTGGAGACCCTAAGTCAAGTGGGGAAGGAAGAGCATAAGCATAAGAGATGTGAACCACCTACAGGTTTGATCTGGCTGGTTTGGTTCCCAGCCAGCGAGTACCCTCCTGACCCGTTCCCACGCTAAATAAAGGGACACCCACTGTAGCATCGACTGAGATCAACATGGAGGTTATAACTTCTCCCCTCCTCACCCCCCCAGAATCACTTACTAATTCCTTCAAACCAAACTAATTAAGTCCCAGGACTACTCGTAATACTATTCAAAAATCATCTGGACGTCCGTGCAGTGGTCTCCCTTTCCAGGGTGCCTGCTCTCCTGTTACCTCCTGTGAGAAAAGGCCAGGCTTGGCCCTCCTCTGAACAGAAGAGGATACTGAGGCTAGGAGGCAGGAAGTGACTGGTCCAAGACCTCACAGCCAGTGGATGAGGTACAGGTTGCTGCTCTGGGTTTCTGACTCTTGGCCCTTCCTAAGCCCTGGTTTCCCAGGCCTCTGATGCTGGTCTCCTCTCCCCAGGTACAATGGCTTGGTGACAGGCACGAGGGCCAAGGGCATCATTGCAGTCTGCTGGGTGCTATCGTTTGCCATCGGCCTGACTCCCATGCTAGGCTGGAACAACTGCAGTCAGCAGGAGGGCAGAAACCACTCGCAGGGCTGCAGGGTGGGCCAGGTGGCCTGTCTCTTTGAGGACGTGGTCCCCATGAACTACATGGTGTACTACAACTTCTTTGCTTGTGTCCTGGTGCCCCTGCTGCTCATGCTGGGTGTCTACTTGCGGATCTTCCTGGCAGCCCGGCGACAGCTGAAGCAGATGGAGAGCCAGCCTCTGCCGGGGGAGCGAGCCCGGTCCACGCTGCAGAAGGAGGTCCACGCTGCCAAGTCACTGGCCATCATTGTGGGGCTCTTCGCCCTCTGCTGGCTGCCCCTGCACATCATCAACTGCTTCACTTTCTTCTGTCCCAAGTGCAGCCACGCCCCACCCTGGCTCATGTACCTGACCATCATCCTCTCCCACACCAATTCCGTGGTGAATCCCTTCATCTATGCCTACCGCATCCGCGAGTTCCGCCAGACCTTCCGCAAGATCATTCGCAGCCACATCCTGAGGCAGCGGGAGCCCTTCAAAGCAGGTGGCACCAGTGCCCGGGCCCTGGCAGCTCACAGTAGCGACGCGGAGCAGATCAGCCTCCGCCTCAATGGCCACCCTCCCGGGGTGTGGGCCAACGGCAGTGCCCCCCAGCCTGAGCGGCGACCCAATGGCTACACCCTGGGGCTGTTGAGTGGAGGGAGTGCCCATGAGTCCCACCGGGACATGGGCCTCCCAGACGTGGAGCTCCTCAGACAGGAGCTCAAGGGAGAGTGCCCAGAGTCCCTGGGCCTCGAGGGTCCCCAAGCCCAGGATGGAGCAGGAGTGTCCTGATGAACCACTGAGTCTGCCCCTTCCTAAGGGAAGGAAATCTTTCTCTTCCTGGTTGGTGGAACCAGTCACGTTGAGAGAAGAGTGCATGTGCCGGAGACCCTTCTCATAGCCGGTTTCCACTTTGGACTGAGGAGGGAGCCCCGGCTGGAGCAGCATGAGGCCCAGAAGGAAGGGTTTGGAGTCCGAGGAAGTGGATGTTTCATGCTGGGAGGCCCTGCATCAGGCCAGAGCCCCAGCACGAGAGCATCTTGGCTGGCGAGGGCTGGTCCCCAACTCCAGAAGCACCTAGAAGTGCCACCTTCTCTCCGCAGAGCAGCTGTGGCAGAGCAGGTTGGCTGGCCTGAGGCTGGGGAGTGGTTCCAAAAGGCCCCCCTGCCACACACACACCACCCTCCCCAGACTTTCCAAGGATTCAGGAGCTATTGTGCTCAGAGGTGGCGTTTGACTATTTTTTCCAGGAGAAAATGTAAGTGTGAGGAAACCCTTTTAATCTTCCCTCCCTGGTTGCTGGCTCTGTTTCAGCCCTGCTGCTAACCTGGCACCAGGAGTTGGCCCAGGGAGACCCAGGCAGCCCTCTCCCGCTGCCATGAGCTGTCATGCACGTCTCCTTCGAGGACAGCGAGTTGTAATGGAGCCGTGCCAGAGCGTGGGCGCAGGGGAGGATGCCGGGGCTGGCCAGCATGGGTTAGCCTGGGGAGCTCAGAGCTGCCCAGGTAGAGGCCCTATCTAACTGCCTTTCCTTCTGAAGGGAATGTTTTTTTTTTCTGAGATACAATAAAAATGAGCCACGTTGTGTTTTAAGCTTGTCCAATGAGAATGGTGTCTGAGTTCCTTTCCCTACTCCACAGCCAGGCCTGGCACACACATATGGGTATGTGTTGCAGGTGTGAGAGAGTGTGCACGTATGTGCAGACAGCCTGCCTGCCTGGGGCCGTGATGGGGCTCCCAGGCTCCCATCTTCCTAGGGAAGAGGCTGCCTGGATGCACCAAAATGGAAATGCCCATGTGCAGCCCCAAACCTGCATTCCTGTGAGAAGAGGATGTGAAAGGAGGGGACCCTTTCTCTAGCTGCTCTCCCTCCAGAAGCCACAGACCCATCCAGCCCTAGGCATTCCCTCAGTGTGGGGACCAGGCTCCTCCCTCCCTCATTACCTTCCTAATGTCCTTTGTAGGTCTCCTTCTATGTTACCTTCTCAGAGCTGTTTCCTTCACTCCCCACTGCCCTGCTCCACCCCTCAGCTGAGAGGGGATCTAGAAATGATGAGGGGGTGGGGTGGGGGGCTAAACTGCCTTCTCCTGGAGTCATCCCTCCTCCTACTCCCACAAAGAAATGTACAAGGAACAGGTGTTTCATGCTCTAACGCTCTCTCTGGGGCCCCCTGCCTAAGGAGAGGGTGCCACCCTTCTGTGCTGGAGAAGTCTGAGGCCCAGGGGAAGTGAGCAGTGTGCCCCAGCCGGAGGGCCAGTCTTGGTCTGAAGTCTCGCAGGCACACTCAGGGCGAAGACGGGCAGGAATGTTAGAACTTCACAGGTAATCCTCACGCAGCCCTGGGAGCCCCATTTTACAGATGACTAAACAACAGAGAGACTAAACCACCTCTCCTGAACAGAGAGGTTAAGTACTTGCCCCAGTCACACAGCTAGTTAATGGCAGAAGTGAACTTAAAACCCAAGGTTTATCTGACCAAAAAATCCATGATTTTTTTTCCCATTAACTTAACGATGAACTATTTCAGCCAAACCGAAAAATATGAAATAATACCATGTTCCCACTACTCTGCTCAAGAAACGAAACATGACAACCAACCCCTCCCCATATTATCACCCTGCTTCGTGCACCTGGCAACAACCACTTTCCTGGGTTTCATTTTGTTCCACTGCACATCTTAATACTTCTACTAGACAGATGTATATGTAAGTATTCCCTAAACCAACACAGGTTTATTTTAGCAATATTTCACTGTCATATCTATCAGAGGTCCTCTGGACTGGCTGCACAGAAGAGACCTAGGACGCTCTAAAGAGTGCCGACGCCTGAGCCCTTACCCCAGAGATGCTGGGTCGACCCAGGCAGCAGCAATTCCCCAGGGGTTCTCATGGACAGTCAGGGTCAGAACCACTGACACAACCGCACAGCCCACTCCCTCCACTCTCCTACACACTTTGGCCTGGGCTTGCTGCAGGCTGAGGGCAGAACAGTGGCCTGTTTTGTGCCTGAGGCGGCCAAGGGCACAGATGCTGTCAGTCCTCATGACCAATTGGTGGGAAGAGGCCACTAAGAGAACCACAAAGGTAGGTAAAGAAGAAATATCGTCTCTCCATCCTTTTTGAGGCCTCTTGGGAACAGAGCTTTGAGTGCTGGGCCTGGTACAGGCTTTGGGTTGGGGAAGAACAGGGACAGGGTCTTAGGAAACACTTTAGATACAACTGAGCCCTAGACCCTCGCAGGACCAGCCCGTAGGCCAGCTCTGGAGCCCAGGCCCACGTGATCATGCTTCCTCGGGTCCCCAGGGGGCCCAGTGTCCCATCACCACACACACCCTGTACAAGCTCCCACTGTGAGCCAGGCTCATGTGTAAGCGCACATACACAGACATGAACAGATGCATGTGTCATTCCCTGACCATGAGAGAATACACGTGTATGCACGCAAACATACAGAGCCCACCTCAACAGCAGCAGCAGCAGTGAGACATAGGCCTGGCCCAGCCCTGGGGCTGCAGATGCGTGTCTGCCCTGGGCCAAGCTGCCGGGGGCAATACCAGGGCTGCTCTAACCCCTAAAGCTCTGTCCTAGGGCCCCTCTGCTCTCTCCTTGCTCTTCCCAAAGGGCTGGGGATGGACCGCATGCCTCATGCAAGCCTGTTCCAAGCACAAGAGTTCCATCACAGGGCTTCCCTGGTGGCGCAGTGGTTGAGAGTCCGCTTGCCGATGCAGGGGACACAGGTTCGTGCCCCGGTCTGGGAAGATCTCACATGCCACGGAGCGGCTGGGCCTGTGAGCCATGGCCGCTGAGCCTGCGCATCCGGAGCCTGTGCTCCGCAACGGGGGAGGCCACAACAGTGAGAGGCCCACATACCGCAAAAAAAAAAAAAGAGTTCCATCACAGAACCTGTCCGTGTGGTGGTCCCAGCCCCGCTCCATGGCAGTTGTGGCCAGGGTCCCCAGGGAAGCCTGTGAGCAGAGGCCTGGCTCAGGCCGCGGCCTGGCTCATCACTCGCCCCATAAGAGACAGGACCCCTACCTTTGCAAGCCTCCCCATTTGTGTTAAGGTTCTTTCCTCTGGGAGGACTTACATAAAACAGTTTGGGCTCCTGGTGGGTGGGGTGGGCCAGCCTCAGTTTTGCACATACTGACCAGGGCACAAGCTCTGGAGACAAATCAAGGCAGCTCAGGGATGAAGGGCAGCCTGGGAAGTAAGAGGAAATGAGAGGTTGCCCCCTGGATCTACTGGGCTGGGTCTTGATAACCCAGAGCTGGAAGTGGGCCTTCTTTGCAACTGTGGTAGAGAAACAGGAACCCGGGGGCTCGCAGAAGCCAACTGCTTAGGGAGTAGGAATGGTTCCGTGCAGCCTGCCCTGATGCCCAGGGCCTAAATAAAGGCACGTCAGGATGGCACTCTATGCCTAGAACGCACCCCTATCCTTTCATGTCACACAGGCTCCCGGCCAGTCCTGTGGGCTGCTGCCATGGTGAACACTCTTCCCCTAAGCTCCCAAAGCGCTTCCTGAGCATGCTGGGACACCCCTCTGCTGATGGGAGGTTACATTAGGGGGGAAGGAACTTAGGGAGACCTGAGATCTGCTGTGAGGCAAGTCACTCCCTCAGGGAATGAAAAAGCGCTCTGAAAAGTGGAGAGCACTCTATCAGAATGTCTGATTACCACAGCCCTCTCCTCCCCTCCTCTGTTCTAAGGCACCCCTCACTGCACTGTAACTCATCATTAGCAGTAACTGTCACTGTTGGGATGGCCCCTGTCAGGCTGCAGAGCCAGGAGTGGGGCGGGAGAATGTCAGGTGACTCACAGCCCTAAAGGAGAAGGCTGGACACACAAAACACAGAGCCTGGGTGCAGAGTCACCTTCGTAGGTGCTCTGGCTCCACCCTTTCTTTTGCCAGAGGAGAAAGGGCAACTCAGCAGAGCTACCCCACAAGCCCCCCTGCCCTGCCACTAGTCAGGCTTAGAGAGGGGCTGGGCTCAGGGAGAGGCCAGGGCAGGGTGTCAGCACAAGGCTAGGCAGGTGACAGGTGTGATGACCCAGTGTCCTCTGAGCGAAGAATTTTTTCCCACCAGTAAGAAAGGCTTGGTGCAGAACCATCCACACTTCTCTGCCTTGCCCAGGGAAGCGTGTGTGTATGTGTGGCGGGGGGGTGGGGGGAGAAAGAGGGATTGATTTTGCAGAATCAGCCTCTGGACTGGCACCTAATGACCAGTAAGCTCTCAGAGAGGGCTTGGGTAGGAAGGAGCAGACTAGAACTGGAGTCCCATCTCCTGACTTTTTGTTCCTCTCAACCACTTAATGAGAACCTGCTGGTGATGCTGGGCCTGGGTCAGCAGGGAGGGGGGTGCACAGGGTGTACAGGTGCCACCAATAGGGGCAGCAGGAGGTGAGGCCACCAGCATGACACAGGCTCTGGTAGTGCAGTGGAGGAGCAGGTCTCACCCAACTGGAGAATCAGGCAGGTTGAAGTGAGTTAGTCTTCCGAAGGCCGACGGTCAAGTCCAGGGCTGTGTTTTCCAGGTGTTTGTTAGGAGATGTGAAGGAGAAGGAGCTGAGTAGACGTGCACCTGATTTACATCTGCCCACACAGGATTATGCCACCCATTTGCAGGCAATTTTCAAGTTAAAATGTTGTCAGAGAGTTGTCACAGTTTTGATCTTTCTTTTCTGTTCTTTCTCAATCCACCCACATTTTCTAGTTGGTATAGAAAGGAGAGTGAGGGGAATAAAACCTGGTTTAGATTCAGATTTTTGGAAATGTTAGATGGGACTTTAAAAATTATGTAGTTTTCTCTTGGAAAAATTTAGGCCCAGAACCCAACATACATCACAACTGTTGTCTGCTGCAGAATCTTTAGGGGGACTAGAGAGACCAGGCCAGGCCTTCTGCAGTCATCCTCAGGTGACTACCTCTGGGGTTTCAGCTTGACTCTCTTTCCTGCCTCATTCAGAGATGCCAAAAAATCCCTCTGCTTGCTCCTAAAACCACCATCCTGCTTCGCCGAGCTCTGAATGGGGGTCAGTACCAGGTTCAAACGGCCTTGCCACTGACTTCTTCTCGGACTGTGGGCAAGCCCCTCTTTGAACTGCCATGCCTGCTTTTAGATAAAGCAGATAATAAATGTGAAAGCACTTTGGAAGGTATATGAGATAAAGAAACATGGCAAGTGTGAATTTAAACCAGGCACCTGGAAGCCTCTGGTGTCTGTGGGGCCGGGAGCTGGGTGTGGACACTGGCTGACAACTGAGGCAAGGGACACAGACTATGGATCACTTGCTGTCTGCAGCCCAATCCTGTCCCATACATTTAACACCTCAAGTCCAGGGGAGTTAAGGCTTATCAAAGATGCAACAGAGAAGATATTATAAATGTCTGAGCTGACAGAATCAGGATTCAAAATGACCTCAGGGGCACCGGACAGAGAAATCTGAGCAAAGATCAGTGTAAAGTCCTGTACTGAGTTTGAAAAAGCAAATGTGCAGGGAGAAGTGGGAAGAGAGAACCCAGCTACCATCAGTTCATGTCACGGCAATGAACACTTCAGTTGCTAAGGTCAGCAGAGGCCAACTTTGTGCAAAATGCCAGAGAAA